TAAACAAAATTTATTTCTTTATCATATTGGCTAGCTAATGTCCTCTCTTTGCTAGTTAGTGGCTGTGTTTCTGCGTTGGGTAGCAACGGGTGACTGTTCTCGGAAGATGTAAACAGCTTAATTTTCGTGTTAAATAATTTTTTTAAATTAAAATTAATTCTATACAGCAATCGCATATTTGGGTACCGTTTCATAAAACTTTCATGCTTAAAATGTTTAGTGAGAAATGGAAGACTGGAGTGTATTTTTTCTTTAAACTACCAAGACCAGCCATACACAGTACAGTTTACGTACATACAGTAATGTTTATGTTCCTAAATTAATATTGTTTATGACCTTCAGATGCGTTATGCTCCTCTTCTTTTTATGCTCAGCTACTCAAATTTCCCTTTAGTAGTAAAATTCCATATAAATATTAAAAACTAAGCGGATTAAAACGTGCACAGTAAAGACATTCAATGATTCAATCTTTTCACTACCAACCAATGCACCACGAGTGCCCCTGTCGGTCATTTTGGCCAGCCAATCACTTACCGCGGTGCCCTGCGGTGGCTTGTGGGTAGTTTACCGTACCGCGGGTTTGTACCATGCATTTTGAATGGCTGCATCTGTATGTTCATATGCTTCATGAAGTATTGTACATGCGAGTGATCTCTAATATCCTCTAAATACAAACATTAAAACAAACATTAAATCTGTTTTCACAGCAATTAAACTATTGTTTCAAAAAAACTAACAAATTAATAAAAATAATAAAATAATAGGACTGACTGTAATAATGCAAAATTTGCAAAAGACCACAGTTGAAATTTCAGTTTTCAAGAACTTTAGGCAGCAAAATCATAACACACCACAACAACCTACTTTTTTTCAGAAACTAGACAACCTCTCTTTTAAAACAGTGTACAGTGGTTCCAAAAACCAATTCAACAACACATTTATGTTATCTAAGACCATTTTCATGATGACGTACATGTAGAATAGAAAAGTGCTGTATACTGATAATTTGATGTTTTTACAGAAACAAAAATAATTTCAAAGGCTGAAATATAAGAAAGCCATCATACTTTGATGATAAGAGAGAAACAGAGTTTCTCATACCGACTTTAGACTATGTGCATTTAGATTTTATCTTCTCTGATTGATAAAACTAGCTTCTACCCAAATGTCTGGTCGCTTTTGATTATGTGCTGGCCAGTAGCTTGGACAGGATCTTGATGTCCACACAGAGTATTGTTATCTGCCTCCAGTTCTTCAGGTCGGTGGCACCCCCCCTCCTTGAAGAAAAGGGAGATGACACCTTACCTCATTGTGTGCCCTTGTTTTCCTTGGCGAAGGTTTGTTATGCCACCTCTACCAAGTCTGCCACCAGTGTGCCCCAGAAATAAGTGTAGAATTCTATGGGGAGTCTGTCCGGTTCTGGCACTTTGCCATTCTCCAAGGGCAGGCCACAAGTACTTACTCCCAGCCTAGAGGCCAAGGAGGCAGAGAGAGGGAAAGGAGGGTGAAGGAAGAGGAAAGCGCTATTTCCCACCCAGCTCAGCTGCTGCTTGGCCTTAACCCAATGGGCTCAAACCAAAATGATACCAGCTCAAGCATTCTTCTTTATCCCGGAGGCTAGAGAAAGAAAAGAGGAGGGACAAGAAGAGGAGGGATAGAAGCAATGATGTGGGTTCTCACCCAGCTCAGCTGCTGCTTGGTCTTAATGAATGTTATGTCTGTGAGAAAAACCACACTCCCTCCCGATGATCAGGTGCTTTGCCTGTCTGCAGCTGATGTAATGAGGACACTAGCCAAAGTTAATAAACGTAAGGCTGCTGGACCTGATAATATACCTGGTCACATGCTCAAGGAATGTGCAGAACAGTTAGCTGATGTCCTCACAGATATTTTTAATATCTCCTTGTGCCAGGCGGTCATCCCCATATACTTCAAATCCACCACTTTTATACCAATGCCGAAGAACTCAGCCGTGTCCTGCCTCAATGACTATCACCCTGTGGCACTCACACCAATTATCACGAAGTGCTTCGAGAGACACGAGCCACATCAAGTCCAGTCATGAGCCACATCAAGTCCAGACTCCCTACCCCTCTGGACCCCCTCCAGTTTGCATAGTGCCCCAACCGGTCTACTGATGATGCCATATCTCTTGCCCTTCACCTTGCCCTGTCCCACCTTGACAAAAAAGACTCTTATGTAAGAATGCTTTTCATTGACCAGTTCAGCATTTAATACAATCGTCCCCCAGAAGCTGATAGAAAAATTGAGCTTGCTGAACCTTAACACCTCCCTCTGCAACTGGATTCTGGACTTTCTGACCGAGAGACTTTAGACAGTCCTGATCGGTAATAATATCTCCAGCACCATCACAATGAGCACTGGAACCCCCCAGGGCTGTGTGCTTAGTCCACTGCTGTTCACACTGATGACTTCTACTGCTAAGCATAGTTCAAACTGTGTCATCAAGTTTGCTGTTGACACGACAGTGGTGGGCTTCATTAGCAACAACGATGAGTCACCATTTAGAGAGGAAGTGGAGCAGCTGATGGACTGGTGCACAAACAACAATCTATCTCTTAATGTAAATAAAACAAAAGAGATAATCTTTGACTTCAGGAGGGCCGGCGCTGATCACTCCTGACTGTACATCATCAGCTTCCCTGTGGAGACAGTTAGATCATCAAGTTTCTTGGTGTACACATTACAGATGACCTCACTTGGTCCCTCAATACCACCTCCCTAGCCAAGAAAGCACAGCAACGTCTCTATTTCCTGTGGTGACTGAGGAAGGCAAACCTTCCTCCGCCCATTCTTACCACTTTCTACAGAGGCACCATTGAGAGCCCCTTGACCAGCTGGATCACTTTTTGGTTTGGGAATTGAAACGCTTCAGACCACAAGACCCTGCAACGAATTGTGGAAACAGCTGAAAACATCATTCGAGCCTCCCTCCCTTCCATTTCTGTCACCTATCACAAACACTTCATAAACAGGGCCTTCAGTATAGTAAAATAACTCTTCCACCCCTCCCATAAACTCTGCCCTCCTACAATCTAGAAAAAGATATCGCAGTGTACGAGCTTGTTCCACCAGACTCTGTAACAGCTTTTTCCCGCAGGCTGTCAGGCTCCTCAACACCCTGGAATCTACTTGTACCCACTGCAATTCCAGAAACAATTCCGTGAACTTGAACTTAACCCAATCGGCTCAACTCAAACAATACCGGCTCAAGCACTCTTAAGCTTCGATCACTGAAAATCAATGCTGTGGACAACAACACACACTTCATCTTAGCCAAAAGGTCGAGAAGCGAATGAAGTATTTTTACCCCGGTTGCTCCAGTTCACCCAGTGAACTAAGTGTACAATTAGAGATCAGCAGTGTTGGGATCAAGCCCTGATAACCTGTCCAGGAGGATATCACATGAGACCTTGTAACATGTGATAACATCCTGGTTACCACAGTGTCAAGCAGGCTGATCTCTGGGCACCATGTGTAAAAGTATGATCTTTACAGGCTATCAGATTCAATATACTCAGAATGCATTGTTTTGTTTTATTCAGTAATGCATGCTGATGTCCATTCATCCACCCATATTGTATTCTTTTTATTGAATACAGAGTCGACGAGAAGCCAGAGCATATCCCGGCATGCAAAAGGTGTAAGAGGGGACACATCCTGGATGGGACACCATTCCAACACAGGGCATAAACAGACGCAAGCACACTCACATCACAGCCAGTTTTATACCACCAGAGCATGGAAAGGAAGACCACGTGTACACGGGGAGAACATACAAACTCTGCATAGACAGTACCCCAGGAACTGTATGTAGGGCCCCAGTGTTGCAAGGCAGCAGCACTGACCATTGAGCCACAATGCAGCCCAAATCTTCTTCTGTTAATTATTTAATTCTAATTAAATACAGAAGCTTCTATTGTAACACATAAAGTGTCAAACATAAGGAGCAGAACAAAGACACTGGTCTTTCAATTTTATACTCACCTACAGAGGTAATTTACACCACTCGTGATCAGTGCCGTCTGGAAGAGGGATATATAACTTTGGTATGTGATGAAATTTCTTTAGATATTAGCTCCCAGAATAATTTAAATTTGGCCTCTTAAAAGTTTGATCATCCCTTGAACGCTTCTAAATTTTAGCTATGTAGCTTATTTGAAAGGGTCCTTAACTTTGAAAGTTAAAGGGTCCTTAAATTAATCTAATATTCTGGGGTGCAAATATAGATATGTTGTATATATAAGACACTAAATTAATTATTACATTACAAATTATGCTTAAGTGCACAAATAAAATGTAGCTTTAAAAACAAAAGAAAAGCATAATCAGTTTGCAGCCCTCATTTGGCACATTTATTAATTCTATTGGTTTCTTATGAGTAACAAAAAACAAGCGACAAAAACTCAATGCACAAAGGCTGTTTAAATGTTTGCTTCAAAAGGAAATTACATCTTTAAAATGACTACTTTGAATGACAGAGTAATAACACTTCAGTTCACAGAGTGCCAAGAGACATATTGTGTGTCTGAACATCCCTAGCAACACTGTATTGTTCTCTTACACTATAATGTAAAGCTGTGAGCTGCATTCATGCAGCTGGTGTTGTAAGAACATTTATGGTGATGATTAGGGGGTTAAGTTCTCAATGCAGTTCTCCCAATACAATTAACTCATTAAAATGGATAAGGCTTAATCAACACCTTCTATGAGCAGGTGTGCCCAACAGGTGCACAAAGTATATAAATCACACAGGAGCTTCAGCATTGTTACACTGTACATACTGAGAAATAAACCAAGTTGTTTTAGTGATTCAAAGACATACTGTATGACTTACATGCGTTTCACAAGACAACTTATTTATAAGCATGTGTGAGTATAAAATCATTTTGTGAATTTTGTAAAAATATTTTAATGCAGTCAATGTAGACTGACTGTAGAGTGTTTTGTAAACACATTTTTTAATTGGAATTACCTTGATGGAATTAACTGAACTTGAACCTCAAACAGTGCAATATTGTTTTCCATCTAAAAATGGATCTTGTACCAAAGAACTTCGGTCCACGGCTGTTTCTATCATTCTTTATGTGTCTATGTTTGCTGTGGTAATTCTGACACTGTGTGGAAACCTGATCGTGATCATTTCCATCTCACACTTAAAGCAGCTACACACACCAACTAACCTGCTGGTGTTGTCCTTGGCTGTGGCTGATCTTCTAGTAGGGGTGTTTGTGATGCCTTTTGATATGGTGAAATTAATAGAATCATGTTGGGTTTTTGGTAATTTATTTTGCTCTTTTCGTAATGTATTTGGATTTCTTCTAACTTCAGTCTCAATCAGTAGCTTAATATTTATAGCCATTGATCGCTATTTTGCTGTATTTTACCCATTTCTTTATTCTTCTAAAATAACACTTAATATAGCATTGTTCTGCATAGTACTTAGCTGGCTTTCATCCCTGTGTTATAATTTGTCACTCTTTTATTTTAATGGAAATAGTAATGATGAAAACCTGAATACCTGTCTTGGAGACTGTTTCATGTTAATCAATTCAACCTGGGGAATAATTGATCTGCTTGTTACGTTTATTTTGCCTTGTTCTGTTATGATAATATTGTATGCAAAGATCTTTGTAGCTGCTAAAAAGCAAGCACATGCAATAAATTCTATAACAAATCAAATTACATTTTCAAATGAAACCAACAGAAAAACATCCCAAAAGTCTGAGTGGAAAGCCGCAAAAACTTTAGGAATTGTAGTATCTGTCTTCCTGTTTTGTTGGATACCTTACTATATTTTCATTGTCATTGATGGCTACACAACCTTCTCTGTTCCTCTTATAGTTTCCAATTCTTTGACTTGGCTGGTTTATTGTAACTCTTGCATAAATCCCATAATTTATGCTTTTTTTTATCCCTGGTTTCAGAAGTCCACTAAGCTCATTTTAACTTTCCGGATATGTAATTCAGGTTCATCATTCAATAGGTTGTTTCCAGACTGTCTCTGAAATATTTTATTTTTCAGTTTTTGCTGGTTTTGATACATCTGAAATGCACATTTAATTGAGATTGAAAGTTTCACTTAAATTAAGTAAGAATATGGGTAATATGAATATCATATGATATTCATATTACCCATTGAAGAAAGATATAAGATGTGAAGAAAGGGTTACCTGATTCCTTTCTGCACAAGGACTGGACCTCTTGTGACACAAGACATTCCAGGCTTTAAGTTATGGCAGGAAAGGGGGATAACTGATAAGGATTCCAGATGCCAGCTAGAAACCCCCCAACAAAGGAAACCTTAAACCGACCATTACGAATGGTCAGAACACCGTGACCTCTCCCCAGTACCATCGAAACAAACTACATCAGAAGCCTGTATTTCGAACAATACTTTGGTCTTATTGTTCCTTGCATGTGATAAAACTAATCTGTTTAAACATCATCTTGGGATCCAGAACGTATTTGTCTGTTACAACACCATATACTGTATATGAATATTCCTTGCTCCTATTTTCCTTACAAAAAGAACTCAAACCTAATTTATAAATTAGGTTTTATAATATACAACCTAATTTATATTAAAAACATGTTTAAAATAAATAATACTGAACTACTTTAAGCAACTTTTAACGAAATATCTTGGGCTGTTTTACATAAATTTAATAACTAAATATTAAATTCACTGTTCTCTGTTACTTAAAACAGCATGGTGTTTTTTTAATATTGATCATGTTTTAAAAATATTTGAATAAAATACACATAATTGCACAGTTTTTTTTATATTTCTGAAAATTCTGAGGAATATCTCCTTGTAAAAGTATGCTTACAAGTTTGATTCACTTTAATTTTACATTTATAATCAAAATCGTTTTTTGATTAAAGTACTGGTGAAAAAATGTTTAAGAGTTTCATGTTTAAGAATGTCTAAACTTCACTGTAATATTCTTTTTATGCATAAAACATTTTGATAATGCCTCATAAGACTTTTCTGTACATGTTATTAATAGTGGATATGTATTCAAGTATATTGGCATTATACTCATATACATGGTATAACGAAATGCTATTTAGCTAGCTCTCGAACATAAGTAGTACAAAGAAAAAAACAACAACAACAATACAATTGTGTAACAAAAGAAAGACAGAGACAACAGGCAGTATGCAAAAAAACAACAACAGACGATGTGCAAAAAAAACCAACAACAGGCAATGTGCAAAAAACAACAACAGGCAATGTGCAAAACAACAAAAGGTAACAGGTTATGTGCAAAAACATGCATCAACAGAATGAAATAAAGGGACAGAAATTATGGGAAGTGAGCCTTTGACATGTATGGTGAGGTAGATTTACAATGTGTGTTTGGGTTTTTGGTAAGAAAGAAAGAAGGCACTGTGAGGTTCAGATCATAGGTGAGAGGTGAGGTGAGAGTGAGAGAGGCTGGGAGTTTAACAGTTTGATAGTGCGGGGGTAAAAACTGTCTGTGAGTCTGGTAGTCCGGGCCCGAATGCTCCGGTACCATTTTCCAGATGGTAGCAGATCATAAAGTCTGTAGCTGGGGTGTGTGGGGTCTTTGATGATGCTTAGAGCTTTCCTCAAGCACCATCTGTCATAAATGTCCTGGATAGATGGGAGGGTAACCCCAGTGATGGACTGGGCAGTTTTCACCACCCGCTGTAGGGCTTTGCAGTCAGCAGCACTGCAGTTGCCACACCACACTGTGATGCAGCCTGTCAGTGTGCTTTCTGTAGTGCATCTGTAAAAGTTAGTGAGGAAGAATTAGAATTAGTACATTCATTAGAAGAATTTACTTTGATTAAATTATAGTTCTGTGTTTACTTTTATTTTTATGTTTGCAATACTAATTCTATAGGACGTCCTGATACTTATTTGAATTATTTCTTCTATTAATCCATTGACAGTGCAGTTTTCTGATTTGGGATTTATTCTGATTTATTAAAAGATAAATTATGGAATGTTTAAGAAAATCAACACAGATATGTATTTGGATAATGTGTTCCAAGAGACTGGTGGGTTTGAACAAGATGCTGAATTGTGACTGAACTACATTCTCTAGAAAGAAATGAGGATCAACCTATTGTTAAGATAGGGTGAATCATGAACTCTAGCGCGTACCAGGACATTCTGGCTGAACAAGTTATCAAAAGCATATATTAAAAACGACATAGAAATTGTTAACTAAGATATTCTCATCTTAGTCTCAAAACCTCAGAACAATCAAAGATTTATGGTTTGAACTTGGGGTGACAGCACACACATACAGTACAGTACCTGAGAGTCTGAGGACCTACCACATCTCTGCCTGGATGAACAGTTCATTTTTTTATACGATGGTACAGGAACTCATACCACAGTAAGGTACAGTAGTTTGTCAAAGTAATCCATTTCAGAGGACTAATTATAAAAAAAAAACTTAAGAAGAAAAGTAACACTTGAGTTTTGGGAACACTAATTATTTATGACATACAGTATATGACTTTGTGCAGTACAATTAAGATTACACTTTTATTAATTATTTTGCACAACACTTTATCCAAGTCATAAATCTTTTTATTACAGTGCTTTGCAAAATATTCACCTCCTTCCAAGGATTGCCTATCTTGTTGAATTACAAATCATTTAAACACATTTTTTTTAAGTGACTTTTTTTCAATCAAAACCACCATCCTGTCACTGTTGGAGCCACAGGCTTGTTGAGAGGGTCTCTATGAACTTAACACTTTTCCTGCTGAAGCTGCAAGGTTTTATAAGGTGGACATTTAGAACTGGATTGAACTGGATTGAACTGGATTGCAAGAATGCTGGACACAAGGGCTACTATGTCATTGTTATATACTGTTATATAGGAGTGTGTGCTATGAACTTTAACAAATAGGGAATTAGGAAGATGTGTGTGATTTTGGAACACTGCCAATATGAGTAGCAGAGGGAAGCATGATAGATAACAGAAAAATATTTAAGAACTGTTCTAGTTTAATTACTTTGAGAAAGATGCACCAAGCATCTCTGTGTGTTTCGCTCTCATGTACATGAAATAAAAACTTTTTTTAACTTCTGACTGTCTTTTAATTGTTCCAATTGTTTAAAGAAATTCATGTTTCTTGCAATGAAATTAAGCAAAACAAAGCAATTTAAAGTAGCTTTGGGTGGCATAATGTATGACTGCTCTCAGACCAATTGGTAAAACTGTGACCACACTGTAAAGCTTTGTATTTGCTCCTGCACATTTCATTGCAATAGCTGTGTGTTTATAGCATGCGGGAGATGTCACTCACACTTGATAAAGCTGCATCCCTGGTGCTGTAAATTGAGCACTCTTAAGTTAAGATCTGTGTATTTGCATAATCTTGTGGGCATGCAGCAAGCATACCACCACTATATTTGTGTCTGAAAACATTAAACTCATTAAACTCACCCATCAATTTAAGAGGTAGAAAGAAAATATGGTGTAAGCCAGAAATGTTTATGACAAAGAAGCAGAAGTATGAAAAGCTGTAGATGGATTTCAAGTTCTCTTACACTTGTCCTACCCGGTTCAACAGGGCAATGCTACCTCCTCTATGCCATAGCAGGATGGGTCACAGTTGCAGTGGCTGTCAGTCAGGCCTCAATACTGTCCTGATTACCACAGAGACAGCTGATGCAGAGCACTTGGCTTAGTGGTAGCAGAAGCTCTGAAGGTATTTTAACCCTACTCAGTTTCTCCTTGGAGATCCGGCATTGACTCTCCATCATTTCACAGCGGATCCACCTTCCACAGTCCCAGTGGGCCCCTTCCTCTTCCCTGTTTCCAGTTCCCTTGGGCTCGACCTGGGAAGTTTGCTTGTGGCTGTGATGCTCAGGCCTCCACCAGAGTCCACCAGCAGGCTGATTGTGGACAAGAGGTTGAGATCCGGCTTCAAATTTGTACCTCAGCAGACGACTTCCTTGGCCCAGTCTACGGCACATCACCTTATTCTGCCCTGACGGCGCACACCAGCCTGGTCTCCAGAGAGGACACCCGCGATGAGCACGCACCCTGTTCAGCCTGGAGACAGATACGCCTAATGGATGATTACCCAGTCTGGGAGTATCCTGCATAACTTCAGTCCCAGAACCCTTAGCTCTGGATTGAGCTTTGGAAGCGCAGCTCTGGAATTTGGAGGGTCTCCCCCATCCTGCACCAGCCTTCCCTCTACCAGCCTGCCCTACACTTCCCTTTTCTGTGTTTCCGTCCACCTGCCTGCATCCCGGGTGACCCCCGCAGGCATTTCATCATGTGGCCCTTGTGGCCCTTTCTCCAGGACCCCAGCCGCAGGAGTCCAGAATAACCCCGATGGGTCCAGCTCTTGATTTTGAACCCTAGTCGCAGACTTGAGTGGACAATATCACCTCAGCCTGGTATTGCACTAGCCTGGCTTGTGTCTGAGGTGCAGTGAGCCCTAGCTCTTGGGTCCATAATACCAAGAGCATCCAACTCCATTCCCTAGGAAGCAATGCTGGTTGTAACACCATCATATCACGTGGTATGATATGCTTCCTTCAGGAATTCTCTGAGGCAATGTGAGAGTCGTACACCTCTTTGTTTCAATTGTGGGATTCCAAAACTCCTTATTGGCAAAAGTATGCATAATCTCACTGGATGGGAAGTGCTTGTAGTCCTCAATCATATTAAAGGATGCAGACCCTTCTTTTTTTCACTGCGTAGTGTATCTTTTTTTCAAAGTTGTTACTGGCACTCTTATAGATGTTTTGATCCTGTACAGAGGACAATACACAGTGCCACCTAGTGGCACACCAGAGTTAGTCCCCCCACCCTACAGTACTGTCTTATTGTCCATAAAAAAGTGAACTTTTGATTTTTTCAGACTGTTAACATCTGTGAATCCACTTTGAGTCATATTTGATTTTTTATGTATGCTCTTACTCTTTGTCAGGTGATTTTAATAAGGGGAGTACGTTTTCATGTGGAAGGAGATGATGTCCAGCTTTAAAACCTTATCCAACCTAGGCTATCTGGATCCATATGTTCTGTCATAATGCTTTTGTGATATTCAAACGTGTATGTGTTGCAACTTTTTTGCATTTAAAATAATTGCAAGACCAAATGCATCAGGGCCATTTGTGGGCTCTGAGAAAATCTTCTGTCTTTCCACCCTATAATATTAGAATGTGTAACTGTTTTAAGAATACACATATATGCTCATGACACATCACTTATCAGTAGGGAGGAGAACTAATGTTCTCTAAGTCAGTTAGTTCACAGATGGGGATTGTTATGAGTCCACGATTGGTAAAGGTCTGTGGGAATTTGTTCAGGACACCACGGTAAGACCCCCACTCTTTATCAGAAATGCCCTGGGATTTTTAAATGACCATGGATAATCAGGACCTTGGTTTTACATCTCATCTGAAGGATGGTACCATTTTTGCAGTATAGTGTCCCCATCATTTTTATTTCTGCACTGTGTTTTAGTGCCCATAAAGTACTCACTCAGACTGTGCATCTTACTTTTTCATATTAGAAATATTGTTTTCTTACTTTCTTAACTAGATAAACCTTCTACAGAAACTTCAATAATGTTTGCTTCACCTCTAGTTGGGACTATTTTAGCTGAACACACCAAATCCACAATTTCCAGGTTTCTGTTATTCTCAGGAGCACTGTGTTTTTTCTATCAAATAACTATAATATTAACTATCATAGTAAAGGAAAGAAAGAATAACTTGTTTTGATTAAATAAAGATAAATCTGCTCTGCATTTTTAAAGTCAATTTGTTCATAATTGCTCATTCATAAAAAAAAAGCTTTTGAACAGTACAGTACTATTATCCTAATAGCATGGCTCTAGTCTAATGATTGTGTAAAAATATCTTTGGAAATCATAAGCTATCTGTAAGGAGCTTAGGTTGTCAGGGAGTATTCTCATTGAGCAGCTGCTCTTTGTGTCATGGATATAAATACAAAGGATAGATCTTCACAGAGAGCAGATAAGTAATAGCAGCTTTCTGTAATTTAAGACTCAGACTGTTTTTTAAGATATTGGATGGATTTCACATTAATGGACCTCCAGGAACATGAGACACTACAGTACTGTCTTCCTTCTGGTAATGGATCTTGTCCAAAAGAAGTACGACAAAAAACAACCTATGTAACGCTATACTTCTTGTTGGTGACTGTGGTGCTAATTACAGTTTGTGGGAACTTAGCAGTGATCATTTCCATTTCACATTTCAAGAAGCTTCACACACCAACTAACCTCCTCGTGCTTTCACTTGCTTTTACAGATCTTAGTGTTGGTGTTTTTACAATGCCTTTAACCTTAATTAAAATAATTGAATCTTGCTGGTATTTTGGGGATATCATCTGCTTTGCTTATGTATTAGTCAGTTATTTGTTAATAACATTGTCTGTTACTCATTTAATTTTCATTGCTATTGATCGTTATTTTGCCATATGTGATCCATTACTTTATTCGGTTAAAATTACAGTTCCTGTCACATTCTTTTTCATTGTCATAGTGTGGATACTTTCAATACTGTATATTTTCATACTAGTCTCCTGCAATGGATATATCAGTGGTGTAAAAATGTCTGTATCTTGCACAGAGGACTGCAATTACACACTGGGTGTAACCTGGTGGGCTATAGATGCTGCAGTTATATTTTTCCTTCCATGTTCAGTAATGGTAGGTCTTTATGGAAAAATATTTGTAGTTGCTAGAAGACATGCACTAGTAATACGCTCAGTGATCAACACATGCACTACCGAAGAAAGCAAAAAAACCATACATAAAAAATCTGAAAGAAAAGCTGCAAAAACGTTAGGCATTGTAATCACTTTTTTCACGCTGTGCTACTTACCAACCTATTTAAGCAGTATACTTCAGGCAAGCAATTCTTTTTTGACACCTTCCAGTGTAATGCAGGTTATTACATGGATAACAGTTTTTAACTCTGGCATTAATCCGATTATTTATGCTCTGTTTTTCCCTTGGTTTAAAAAGTCATTAAAACTTATTATTACATTAAAGATATGTGATAGGTCATCTTCTCTGATTAACATATATTCTTAGCACAAAAATATTTAAGAACAACAAATTAAGTTATATTTCTTCACTTTAACAACTTTAATATTAATGTTGTATATAAGTAAGTTTATTGTTTTATAAAGACAGCATTTCGATAGCATCTGTATCACTTCCAATATTCCTCTAAAAATAGAAACAGATGAGTAAATTATTTTAAAATGTGTTTTTACAGTATTTGTGAGGTATATTGTGCTATTCTTTGCTAGACAGGCAAAAACTCTAATGTTTAGCAAATATTATCTTATTAGATTAAATAAAACATATCGCTGATTAATGTTAAACAGCAATATTCCAAAACTTTTGAAATGTTAATTATACTGTATCTAATGTAAAAATAGTTTTAACTGGCAAAACTAATAACATGGCTAAAAAACTGTTTTAGAATGTATGATAGAATCCTTAAAAACGAACTCTGCTTTCACCAGAATACAGATATTGTGACATTGTTTTGTAAAACTGCTCTTCTAAAAATGGGCTGAATGCTTATTCATTTTTGCAAATAGTTTTTTTTTAATACTGTTAAGTAAATCGAGTATTTAAGTATACCTGTTTTTGCTGGTATGTTGTCTGCTTTCAGTGTTAGATAATAAAAAACCTTGGATATTTTTATGAATAAATTCACACTATGGAATATCCATCATATCACTGGAATTCATTTCTTGTATCAGAGTTTTACTTTGTATTGGAAAAATTAGGATATTTGTCATGAACAATTCCAACAGGTAGCATCTGTGCAACTGTAAAACTGGACTTTTTGTCAACTTTTGCTCCTTGTTTGTTATTGTTATTTTGTAATGAATGAAAGGATGAAAAGGGACTGTATATTTATTAAACACTTTCAAGTTCAAGTTCACATTTATTTGTCATTTCAGTCATATAGAAGTATGCAGTGAAACCAAATATCATTCCTCCTCGTCCACGGTGCAAATACAGGCAGGACAGACAGGACACTGACATAGACATTGTAGACAGGATACACATAGTGCAAAGAGCAGTTAGTGCAAATTACAAGGTAAATACATAATACAATATACACAACACACTGGGGGGATTTAAGCCCTGTTTCTGGAATTGGGGTGGGTGCAATAGATTCCAGGGTGTTGAGGAGCCTGACAGCCTGCAGGAAGAAGCTATTACAGTGTCTGGTGGAGCTACCCAGTACACTGCGACATCTTTTCCCAGATGGTAGGAGGGCAAAGAGTTTATGGGAGGGGTGGGAGGTGTCATCTACAATACTGGAGGCCCTGCGTATGCAGCGTTAGTGATAATGACAGAAATGGAAGGGAGGAAGGCTCCAATGATCTTTTCAGCTGTTTCCACAATTCGTTGCAGGGTCTTGCGGTCTGAAGCGTTGCAATTCCCAAACCAAACAGTGATGCAGCTGGTCAAGGTGCTCTCAATGGTGCTTCTGTAGAAAGTGGTAAGAATGGGCGGGGGAAGGTTTGCCCTCCTCAGTTACCGCAGGAAATAGAGCAATAGAGAAATTTTGATATTTATAGGGAGAAAAAATAACAATGTTCTGTAAATTTCCGCAACCGGCAATCAATTGATCACCCAAGCAGTGCAAATTCTTTGCATATTTGCAAATTGTGCTCTGTCCTCCTTATCTTGTTTCTCTTCCTCTGACCCTCTAGAGGACAAAATACAGTTACTTGACAGTGCTCTTTTATCTACCCTTGACACCTTTGCTCCTTTAAAAACTTGAACCATCTCCTTCTCTCGCCCTGCCCCCTGGTACAATGACCATCTGCAATCCAAGCAGGCAGCCTCTCGCAAACTTGAGCGTAGGTAGCGTCTTTCTGGCCTAAAAGTACATTATCAGTCTTGGAGAGATTACTTATCTGAATATAAGGTTACTATAGAGTCTGCTAGATCCACCTACTTCTCTCACATCATTGAAAATCACCAAAACAACCCCAGACATCTTTTCTCCACCATCAACAGACTGCTCAAACTAAACTTTACCTCCACCACATTACCTGCCTCATCACAACTTTGCAACACATTCTTAGATTTCTTTAGTTTTAAGATTGACAACATCCAGCATCACATTCTTTCCACTACACATATCCTTTCCACACCCCCTCCCTCCCTCCTATTGGCACCCCCCATCAACTTTGTAAAGCCAGTCCTGTAACCCTATCTGTAGATGGTTCTGTACTTGAGCTTCAATCAAAATTGAAAAACCTTGGGGTTATATTCGTTTCTGGCTTAACATTCGACCCCCATGTGCAGCATACTGTCAAAACATATTTTTTTCACCTTAGAAATATAGCTAGACTACACCCTAAGCTATCTTTAACTGTCATTGAAAAGCTGATCAACACATTTGGATTCTCTCAAATTGACTACTGTAATGCTCTACTCGCTGGGATATCTAAATCTACTCTGAACTAACTGCAGTATGTCCAAAATTCAGCAGCCAGACTCCTAACCAGGTCTAGTGCAAGTGATCACATCACTCCTATCCTGGAGTCCTTGCACTGGCTATTGGTCAAATTCCATGTAGACTTTAAAATCCTCATGCTCACCTATAAGGCTCTGCATGGCTTAGCACCTCAGTACCTGTCTGAACTATTATCGGCTTACTCCCCACCTCGCAATCTTTGCTCTTCTAATTCTGCTCTCCTTACTGTCCCCCAAGCCCGTCTACACTCTGTGGGTGACAGGGCCTACTCCTGTTATGCCCCCAAGCTCTGGAACTCTCTTCACAAGGAAGAGAGCTCTGGAACTCTCTTCACATTCCTGAACTCTTTGCACTAATGAGCCCGGGCCTTTTTCCCCGTCTCGCCGCTACGCATATGGGTCTTTTTCCGCTCTTCGGCTCCCCACGGTTAGTCCCTTTGGACGTCCGTGACACTTACACAATACAAAGGTAGGAAATGTTTTTTTTTAATTTACTCTAACATTCAGAAATTGCGACTTGAAATTGCAAGAGTACTTGACTTTTAGTAACCAATCAAACATAACTATTTACGGTCTCACACATGGATTCTAAATATACAATACACAATCTATTGATATAACCAAAAAATGCTTTAAGATCATCCGATGTTGGGTCATTGACAATAGGTATTTTTCAGATAAATCCTTAAGATCTTCGACATTAACACCTGGGTAAGATGGCAGCTAGGGGATGTCAGGTGACCCGAGACAGGAAATGCCCTATCCCCGATCTCCTAATAGGAAACAGGTGAATCATGTCAGAGACCAGATAAGTATTCCCAGGAAGGAGTCATCGGGGTGGAAGCCGACAAGGCGGAAGCATGGTGTATGGAAGAACAACAAGTGATGTAGAAACAAAAATTTAGAAATAAAGAATCGGATCTAGAATTAGAAAGACGGAAGATCTTATAGTCTACGCATATGGGATACGGTTTGGTGGATTATAGATTTTGGCTGGGGAAACCGATTAATTTAACAAACATATAGGAATAACACAGAGAACTAAAAATAACACTGAAGCTTGTATACACTACAGTGAGAGAGCAAGAATGCCGGGAAACGGAACCACAGAATTAGAAAAGAGGCTTCACTGTGTGAGTATTTTTGGACACTTTTATACTACTAGACTTTTGTGAAGCTACGATGCATAACAAATAGCAAGTATAATAGAACATACTGTACAGTATCTGTGAAATGATCTGCTGTGACACAAATGGCTTGCCCAAGGATTACAAAAATTGAAATAAATAATCTCACATTTAAAATACACTCAGACTATAATGTGTTATAATCTAGTTTGTAGATACTATCTGTCTTAATTAAATTACATTTATATTCTCAGACACAAGTAATTATAAACATTTTCTATCATAAACTAAACATCAAACATGCCATTGGAACTCTTGAGAACAATAATGTCAGAAATAAAGTTTTATATTCAAAAGATCCGTTGGCCAAACGTCCTTGATAAGTTAAAACTTTGAGCTGTTAAGGCGGCGTCACACCCTCTACAGCTAAAGGACGCTCCTACTCTGTCCTGTCCCTAATTTCCTGTGCTTTGCTTGTCCTTCCGGTGTGTCTCTGTCTGGGGCTTTTTATTTCCAGGTCACGCTTTCCTCCTCGATCAGCATGGAGGGATCGGATGTCTTGAGACCCGCCTACAAATACCTGGCTTTCCTCAGGTTTTCACTCCTGGCATCCATGATTGAAAGTTGAGCTGGCTCTCCTATCCTCATTGCTGGATATCACTCCGGACATCCGTGCCTGTGAGCGGGCCTTGTGAGCAGATCTCCTCGGGTTGTCTACTCCGATATCA